ATTGATCAAGTATATTTTGTGTATATGCCATTTGTACCATTTCTTTGCGAGCTCGATCTCGACATTTTTGACCTAATATCAGAGCTTTCGGTGGTTTAGAATCGACCGCAGCTAGAGAATTAAAAGATAAATAGAGAATGTTATGAAATATAAAACGAGAATATATTTAAATTTATACATCGTGCATTATGTAATCGTCGATAATGATGTCTCATATGATCTGAAACAATGCCTTGTTTGACAAGATTATTTTCAGTTGTTTGAAGAACTAAATATTTAATGAAAACAATAAAAAATTTTATTGAAATAATAATAACTATGATAAAATCTTTGGTTTTTTAAATTATCTTACCACTACTTTTGAGTCCATATAAACCTTTTCCTGGCCAACTAAGTGTACTACTAAGTAGATCAGTTGAGGACATTTTTGAATCGTCTTTTTTAAATTATCTATATGTAGAAGTAGAAAATCTAAAAAAGACATAATCAAAATATGTTAAATTATTTCTGTAGTCTGTATTTACAGAAGTCAGAATTAAAATAATTTTACTGATGGTTGAATTCGAGTTAGATAACGAGGAAACCTCTTCAGCTACTCTCTTCCGACTTCAATGGGTTTTTTTTGCCTATAGATAGTATATAGTGTTCTAATAAAAATTCGAAAAGAATTTCGGTTCCTATCGAGATTTGATTAAGCTATCAAATTTTTAATATGTTCATTTTCTATAAGTCTCAGGTTTTCGGAAAATTGGTAAATTTCAAATTTTGATCTGAAACTTTGCACATATAAAGAACTCAACTGGACTAACTTCTTTAAAAAAATTCTCAAGTTTTGAATAAAATCCTATCGAGATATGAAGCTTTCAAAAAATGCATGTTGTATACACTATCTACAGAAATGAATCTATATCTCGAAGAGACTTTGTTCAAAACTTGTGAATTTTTTTAATAAAAGCTAGTTTAGTTAAGTGATTTATATGCACAAAGTTTCAGATCAAAATTTGAAAATACGAATTTTCTAAAAACTTAGGGGTCCCTAAATATAGACATATTAAGAATTCGATAATTTAGTCAAATCTCAATAGGAACTGAAATCCTTTTAGGATTTTTATTAGAACACGAAGTACTATCTATAGGCAAAAAAAAAATCATTAAAATCGGAAAGGGAGTAGGTGAAGACGTTCTCTCGTATAAGCTGCAAGTCGAATTCGCCAAAAAAACATATCAACTGAATCGTATATTAGAACAATATTTCAGTAATTTTATGAAACGGATACTGTCGAAAATCGATTACATTGTGGAAGACCTTAGGGTAATTACTAAAGAAACAATCAATGAAATTAAGGATGCTTATGAAAATGAGCCAAGATCAACTATTCGATCTATTGCATAAGCTTGCTTATTATTACAAACAACAGTATATCAAATTACGACAGAATATTTCTTATTAACGCCATACAAGATACAATGTGTTTCATAGTTCTACAAAGAAACGTTACATAGACCGAACATTTGATCCTGACGCATTTTTTTCTTTAGTAATTACTCAGCAGTCATCGATTTTCGACAGTATTGTTTTTACAAAATCGGTGGAATATGTGGTTCATGTACAGTTTAATTAGCGTATTTTTCTCTAAATTCAATTTGTAATTATCAATTTACAATACTAACTCATTCATATTTGACTATGAGTAAAACTATTTTAATTTTGACTTCTTTAGGTATGGATATTTTATCTGAAATATATTGAACAAAACTTTAATGATGAATAACAAAAAACAAAAATATTTAAATCTCTTGAATTATTGAGAAGTTTTTGTCTTTTCGTTTAGACTTTTGGA